ACAGTCATATTTTTATAGTATATATTTATATAATAAAATACAAAGAGTTTCAAATCCATAAACTTATAAAATAATTCGAACGTCTCAGATCATTTCGAGATTGTTGATCCGATGAACCAAACCTTTCTCCAAAAATTTTTCCACCCATACACTCTCCAAGAGGCAGTAGGACAATGTTTTCAGACTTGCCTCTCGCATTTCTCTCTATGTCTCCCAAACAAAATGGAGTCTCTACTCTCATTGTCTCCTATCTCTCTCTCTCTCTCACTCACTCAGGTTTATTTTTTAAATTTACCCAATCTCCAGTCTATGTCTCTCTGTCTCTAGCATCTCTCTCTTACTCATCATGTCAATGCGAAAATAGCCTCTACGAAAACAACCTAGCATCTCTCCCTCACTCTCATCTCCACGAAGCAGCGGCTCTCCGGGACTGGCCAAACAAAACGCTAGTAACTCTGTTTCTATAGTAGGTTACCATCTTCTTCATCAACATTGTGTTTTTATGCATGTTTTGATATTTTCTTGGGTAAAGGTTTGTCCATTAGTTTCCCTTATGTGTGTTACTGTAACGCCCCAAAACCCATCGTGGACGGCATTACAAACTAAAAATCACTGACATCATGAGAGCAATTAAATAATTCATTCATAAAGAAATTTCATACATCAAAGGTAATCTTTACAATCTCGTTCCCAAAAGAATACGCCAAACATGACGAATATATCCCCAAAAGAATATGATCCTAAAGTAAGATATTTACATCCCAAAAGGATTAAACATAAACTCGCAGTAGAATTATAAAATAGTCTAAACTTCACAATATTTCTAATTAAATTTCCTAGTCTAGAATAAAAATGAATGTTGTTCTAAGTGTCCACCTCAGGATCAACATGCCCGTCTACGGGAATCTCCCAGTGTGCCGACTCCTCAACTCTCAAATCCTCCTCCAATACATAATCTGAAAAATGTAGTTTGTAAGGGGGTGAGCACAAAGCTTTGTAGCAACATTCCTCCCAAACTCGAACAAGGTTGTGAAAAGTATATAAAACTTGTCGGTCACCTTTCACAAATAGCATATATGAATTTTGAAAGAAAATCAGGACATTTGAACAGATCTCAAGTTTAAGCAACAATAATAATTTAATGCATGATTGAAACCAATATACAACTAATAATTCATTCTACCATAAACTGTTTCTCCCAAGTTCTTGCGGAATCTCATACTTTCAAAAATTCTTGTAGAAACTATTTCTGGTACAATGAACAATAACTCACCACTATATTCGTATCTCTGGTATGAAGTAAGACCTCGCATGGATATCATCGAAAATATCATGGCCCACATACAATCCACACAAATCCTCGCAAGGTTGTCCAACCTTTAGGAAGGGCGTATGCCAACACCATGGCAGTGACGTATCCAACCAAAGAGTAGTATACTAACCCCTTTTTCCACGGTAACCCATAAGCGATAATGGTTTAGTCCTCACAAGGCACTAACCTCATTACGAGTCGTAGAAAAAGTTCTAACCCACACGGAGTAAAAAGGCGTCTACACACTCCAAGATATCCGGTCAATAGTAGCCCATGTTTATCCAACACTTACACAAGAGATACAATACAAACAATTTCCTCAAATAACAATAATTCCATAAATCCCCAATTTTACATGTAATGGTTCAATAGAACAATTGAATAAAATGCAAGAGATCATCATCAATATCACTTTAATACTCAACTCAAAGCACTATAGTTTCGAAATCAATAATAAAGAAAGAATTTAAGAAGAAGATCTATCACTCTCCAAAAACTAGGGTTTTAAAACAAGAACAAAAGATTTCATGGGTATTTAACCCTAACTTTGTTCAAAACATGTAATCTTTGCATAAAAGACTAAGAGAGGATGATTTCATATCCTATATATAACATTTAGAGTCAATATATATATATATATATATATAT